ACACCGTGTGTAGTGGGGTGACCGGAGCCATGAACATGGCCAAGGGAGCTGTCCAGGGGGGCCTGGATACATCAAAAGCTGTCCTCACAGGCACCAAAAATACAGTGTCCACTGGACTCACAGGGGCAGTGAACGTGGCCAAAGGCATAGCCCAGACCGGCCTGGACACCACCAAGACTGTGCTGACCGGCACCAAGGACACCGTGTGTAGTGAGCTGACTGGAGCCATGAACATGGCCAAAGGAGCTGTCCAAGGGGGTCTGGACACTACCACATCTATGCTCATGGGCACCAAGGACACAATGTCCACTGGACTCAAGGGTACTGTGAATGTGGCCAAAGGGGCCATCCAGGGCAGCCTGGACACCACTAAGATGATGCTGGCCAGCACCAAAGATGCAGCTTCTGCTGGCCTTGCCGGGGCAGGGAAAATGGCCACAGGCGCTGCGCACACCAGTCTCAGCACTATCCAGAAGCGGCTCCCTGGTACCCAGGACACCATCTGGGGTGGGTCTACCAGTTGCAGGGCCACAGACAAAGGCGGGGAACATGCTGCCTTGAGCCCCCAAGAGGCCCTGTCCTCTGGGGCCTCCAGTTTCTCAGACCCGCTTGGTGCAGGCCTGCAGTTTTCTGGGGAAGCCACAGCTGCCTCCAGGAGACTAGTGTCTAATGTGGCCATGGTCACTCACGGCGCTGCCCCAGTTGGCCAGCAAGGAGCCACCAGCTTCGTGATGCTCCCGGATGAGCTGGAGGGGCTGGGGGAGATCTTCCAGCCCATGAGTGCTGAGGAGCAAGGTGAGGACATGCCGGGGAGGGGCACATCCCTGCCTGAGGTGGGTTCCTGAGGTGGTCATGGCTCCAGGCGGGTGCTGGGCTTCGGTGAGACCAGAGCGCAGATGCCCTGGCTAAATCACTTGCCTCTTTCCCCAGCCCAACTGGCAGCCTCCGAGCCAGGGCCCAAGGTGCTTTCGGCCGACCAAAGGAGCTACTTTGTCCGTCTAGGCGACCTGGCCCCCAGCTTCCGCCAGCGTGCTTTCGAACATGCCTTGAGCCACATGCAGCATGGCCAGTTCCAAGCCAGGGACGCTGTGGCCCAGCTCCAGGACTCCTTCCGGGTGGTGAGTGGCCCCTCCCCGCACCTTCCATAACAAACCCAAGCGCACTGCCAACTCTGCACAGTGCCTGAGCACCCTATTGGCAAACCCACCGACTGCAGAGGAGTCAGGGGAAGGACAGTGTGGAGATAGCCAGGCAACGTCCAGAAGAGGGCAGGGATGGCAGGATAGTGCACCCCTGAGGTCAAGCTGGGTGTGGTGGCAGCAGAATGTGGTACCGGGGAGAAGTGGAGGTGTGGCTGGGGTTGGAGAATCCAGGGCTGGACACGATGGAGGGCGACTCAACAGCGCCTGGTGGCCAGGCGTCCCCACCCTCCTCTGACCCAGCACCTCCCTCTGGCACTGTGGACACAGGCAGCCTGGGCACTGCAGAGTACTGAGCAGTGCCCTGGCCTCTACCCAGCACCCACAATCGTAAGGCCCCCTTGCCTCTTAGGGAGGCACTCAGCTAACACTCGGCAAGTAATGAATGAGCGCACTGTGCCCTATAACCTGTGGCAAACGGCTACTCAGAAAGCATCTTTCTGCCTTTGGATCCTCACAGCAAAGTAGACTGGGCAAGAATTCAGCCCCAGCGCCCTCTAAGGCCAAGAACAGGCAGAGAGAGGTCTGCTCAAGGGCACACACAAAGGATGCTGGGAGTGGAAACCAGATCAAGCATCATTCGCTCAGTAGTCAATAGTGAATGCTTGGGGGCACCTTGGAATAAAAGCCAAGTCCTCTCCTCCGGGGGCTGCCAGAGGATGAAATGCTTAGCCTGGACAATGCCTGGTAACGTGAAGATGACCAAGGACAAGGCAGTGGCAGCACTGGGGTGATCACTGAGAAAGGGGACATTCAAGGCAAGATTTAAATGCCAGGGCTGGATCTGAAGACAGCAGCATTCCAGGGGGAGGGCACGACCATGCAAAGGCCCTGGGACGGCTTAGAGCCTGGCTGTGTGGCCAGAGCAGAGGCAGTGAGGAGCAGAGTGGCAAGGGGAGGCAGAGAGGGGATGAGCATCCTTGCAGGGCTACAGGGGGGACTTGGACTCTGGCCCCAGGGAGGTGGGAGCCTCGGTGGACTGTGGGCAGAGGGACGGCCTGACCTGACAGGTGTTAAGAGGATCAGGACACATGGGGTCAAAAGCGGGAGCTGAGACACATGAGGACTCGAGGAAGTGACCAAGGGCCTCAGGAGCAGCCCTGGGGGTGATGATGCTGGGGGCATTAAAAGTGGAGCCATCCAGGTCTGCAGACAGGTTAGACTCGAGGTGACAGCCCTCAGAACCTTGGGATGTGTGGCCTGAGGGTGGACAGCAGGGACAGGAGGGCAGCTGCGTGGGGGACTGGCCTCAGGGCCAGCACACTGAACACCCCCAAGTCCCGGCCAGGAGGCCATGAGCTCCTGCTTTGCTCTCTTTGCAGATTGAGAAAGCCATGCAGGCTCCAGAAGGGCAGCTGCATCTGGACCCGGGCTGGAACACCTCAGTGGAGGACACTGGGACCCCAGAGGTGGGTGTGGCACAGGCGAGCTGTCCCTGCCTGATACCCGAGGTGGGCATGATGTAGGTGAGCCCTCCATTCCGCCCTCCACCCACTCACCACCACGCTTCTTAATCCTGCAGGCGCTGGCCAGGGTCTGCACACTCATCTGGCAGCTGCACACGGCCTACAGTGGCCTGGCCTCTGGTCTGCAGGGGCTGCCCGAGCACCAGAGGCAGGTGGGCCGGGCACGGCACAGCCTCTGCGATCTCTATGGCATCGTGTCCTTGGCAGGCTCTGGGGAGGAGCTGCCAGCCGAGCGCCTAGCACAGAGCAGAGAGGGCGTGGGCCAGGCGTGGCATGGGCTAGACCAGCTGCTGGAAGGCCTGCAGCACTGCCCACCGCTGGGCTGGCTGGTGGGGCCCTTTGCCTTGGCCCCCAGCACGCAGCAGGTGTAGGCGCCACAGACCAGGTGCAGGTAACTCCCTGCCTGCCCACCTGGGGAGCCTGTTCAGAACCTTCTCCCCTAAACCAGATCCAGTTCCTGAAGGTCTGGGCCCCACAGGCTGGAGCCAGCCAGAGCCCAAGGGCTAAAGGGGACACAGTTTCTGAGTTCCACCACCTCACACTGGGCCAGGCCTGCCTGCACCTCCTGTGCCTTCTCTAGGTCCCTGACAAAGGACTGCGGCCTCCTGCTGCAGGTGGCAACTGGGCACCCAATCAGGAGAGAACCAGACGCGTGGCCGGTCTAGAAGGGCCCATTTGCCCCCATCTAACCCTTTTATCTCTGGGGGCTCTTCTACTGCCACGTCTGGGGTGTTACTTGGACAGATCCGGCTGAGGGCCTTGGCTGACAAGCCACTGTGGCCCTGTCCTCCCCAGCCTCGGCCCCATGGATCCTCAGGGGATGGCGACAGACAGGCAGTGGAGGAGGAAGCTGGGGCTGGAGAGGTCTGAGAATGCAGCAGGCGGCAGCCCCACCTCCCAGGGCTGAGCCCCTGGCCCCGGCCCATGGGCCCAGGCCGACTGCAGCCCTCAGGACAGCTGCGTGAGCACAGCTCTTGCTGTCAGCTTCACTCATAGGCAGGCTGCGCATCAGCTGCCCATCTAACACCAGCAGGGGCCCCTTCACTGGAACCCCACAATCTCCAGGCCCCTGGAGGAGGATGGGCAGGTAGCTTGTCCCTGGAGGTCCCCGGGAGTGCCAGGAGCTGTGAGGACTGGGCTCATATCACCCATAGGTGACAGGGCCATGACAGGGACAGTCAGCCTTCCCGAGCCCTTCCCTCCTCAGTCGGCCACAGGGTCACCAGGGGCTCTGACACTAGACACAGGCATTTGCAGAAACCAGGCCCAGCACCTTGAGCTCCTGCCCATTGAAACCACTCAGGGACCAAGGTTCAGGAAATCCGTTCCTTACACACCCATCTCCTGCTGCGAAAGGGGGCGCGACCATCCTCTGAAGGGGCTCACACTAGAAGGTGCAGTGGAAGGAGAAAGGCCTCTGCTAGAAGCCATGTGCACAAGCCCACCTGCATCCACACCAGTGCCAGATGGGGTCACCTCTCCCACACGGATGAGGACAGAGAAGCCCAGAGGAGGAGGGGCAAGTGCCCAATGCCACATGGCAAGCCAGCGGCAGAGCTGGAAGGAGCCTGGTCCCTCACAACAGACAACCCACAGCAGCCCTCTGGTCCCGATTGCCCTGAGCTGGCTCCAGCTACTTGGTCTTGCCTAGGGCCCAGGGCCACCTTTGGCCTAGGCGGGGCAGCGGCGTGGTCGAGTGAACGAAGATCTAGACTCTGCGCGACTTTCAGGACCTCAGACGATCCCTGCCCTCCTTGTCCCCATCTCTGTCCCTGCTTAGCCTGCCCTGGTCCCTGCTGCCCAGCCTGCGGCAATAAGAGCTGAGTTTGAGGTTCCCCTCTGCAAGGCCTGCCCCAAAGGTGTACCCCTCTGACAGCTGCGAACTGTTCCCTGCCTCTCGCCCCAACTGTTCCAGCAACGATAGGAAACCAAGCCAATAAAAGTGATCTTTTTCATTAAAAAACCCTTTATAGTCATTTCATGTCAGTCAGAAATCACAGAAATTAGGCAGAAAAAAACCCAAGGGACAAATACAAACAAACAGCACAGCGTTTCCCCAAAAGTTCCCTGCGCTGAGGGGGCAGGAGCAGCCGGGCCTACGGACGACAGCGCACCTCCCCGGCAGCTCAGCTGTCCTCGTCCAGGGACTCCGAGTCCAGCCGCACCCTCTCGCGCTCCTGCCGCTCGCTCCCGGGCCTGTCCAGGTCAGGGCCCTCCCGTAGGCTGCTGGGGGCGTGGGCAGGGTGAGTGTGGGCAGGGCGGGGGTCAGGCCTGCACACTGCCTTCTCTGTCTCCTACCCCTGGAGACCGCAAGCAGTCTGCAGAGCCCCCATGTCACCCAGCCAGCACAGAAGAGGCAGTCAGGCCTGGTGCAGAGTAGCTGCTCTTCAAATGAGCCTTGAACCTGGCCGGCGGGACACAGCCCATGGCCCTTGGCACCAGCTGAGTGGGTCAGGTGGCCGTGCTGGTGAATGGTGCCTGCCACTACCAGGCCACTCCTGGAGCCTCGTGGGAAAGAAGCCACCTGTCTGGGAGGCCCAGCCCAAGGCCTCAGCACTGAGCAAAGGTGGGGAGAGGGTGACCAGCTGGCAAGGAACCACGCAGACAGCAGGGTGCGCTGCCCACCGCCCCCATGGAGGCCGCCCCTCACAGGGGACACTCACTCGTGCAGGTCTTCTGAGGAGCTGCGCTGTAGACCCTCCTCCGAGTCCTGCGCGTCCTCCTGCTCCCTGTCCTCCGTGCTCTCCCCCTTCTGCGACGTGGCCTCGCCATTCACAGGGGCTGAGAGATCTGAAGCAACAGAGGGTTCATGGTACACTGCCGGGCCCTGGTTGGGAACTCCTTCCTGTCCAATGAGCTGGCTTTGGGACCTCGACTTTCTGAGCTCCTGAACTGGGGTGGCCGTGCCCCGAACCCCACCATGGGGATGTGCTGCACACAGGGGACTCTGCACCACCCCCAGCCATTCCCCCACGCAGCCTCATGTGCTCAGCTGCTGCAGCCTGCCTGGCACTTAGCAGAGCAGCGACACCCTGTGCCAGCTTCCCTGAGACAGCTAGGTCTGCAGAGACGCCCGAGGGGAATGCACCACAGGGCCAGTATGTGGTGGAGAGCAGAGCTGCGGTCCCCAGGTCCCTGGGACGTTCGGCAAAGCACCCTCCACCCCCCTGGCTGACAGCATGGCGGTCGGACTGCCACCCACCCACACCCAGGCTGGGCTCATCCTCCGCCTTCTCCTTGGTGGTCTCCTCCCCGGCCAGCTTCTCCTCAGCCTTCTCCACCTCAGCCTTCTCCTTCTCTGTTCCAGTTTTGTTTGCTTTCTGGATTGCCTCGATCTTGGGCCCCAAGACACGAGACTTGAGCCGAGTGTAGACTTCCGCTGCCTTCTCCATCACTTCTTTGTTGGCTTTGTAGCGGCGAATCTGGCGGGAACGGCTGGGCTCACTGAAAGCAGCTGGCCTCCCGACTAGGACCCTCCCTCCAGTCCCTGCCACCACATCCACGGGCCCCACCACCTGCCACCTCCTATCCCTGCTATACCTTCTTCAACGTGGCCACCACATCTGTGTTCTTCTGCAGGATCTGAGAGGTCACCTGCAGGGTCCCCAGCTCCTCCAGAGCATTCAGACACCTCTTCACGTCCTACAGGGGGTGGGAGTGAGGATCGGCAGCATGGGAGAGGGGACTCAGAGCTCCTGGCAGGGTGGGGGACATCCAGGCCCTCTGCAGGGAGGGCTCACCTCTGCCTGCTGCCTCTGCTGACCCTACTCGTGCGGACTCAGGCCTGCTGTGGACCCAGATACGCAGTGGGGTTCCTGGGGCTCCCACTGGGGAAGCCGGGCTCTGCACCTCACCCCAGGCCCTCACCTGATGAACCAAAGCCTGCCCAGTGGGACCCCCAATGTGCCTCAGCCTCCCAAGACTTCTAGGGAGCCCCAGAAGTGAGTTGATGGTGGGACCACTTGGCTCAGGGGCTATGGCCCCAAGGCCTCAGGACCATCTTACCGGGTTGTCGACCTTCAGGGCAAACTTGATCTCGCTGTGCAGCTTCTGCAGCTTCTCCTCCACAGAAGGTTCTGGGCCAGGAGATACAAGGCCTGAGTAGGGCCTGCAGGCCCAGCCCACAGGGAGGCCAGCTGGGGCAGTGGCCAGCAACCCCCACCCTGCACACACTGCAGGGTGCACCTCAGGGACATGGCCAGTGCCCTGCCCAGGGACCTGTGACCTGATCAGCCCAGCACCCTCCCTCAGCAGCCTCTACTGCCAGCACTCACCTTTCTTCTTTTCCCCCTTCCTGTCCAGCAGGAGCCCTTCCGACCGCTTCCGGGTCCGTTCTACCTTCACAGGCCTGTGGGGAGATGCTCCCTCAGACGGGCCTGGCCAACCTGTCCCTGTGGCCACCTGGGCCCCGCCCTGCAGCTCTCCTCACCCTGCACCCCTGAACAAGCCATTGGGAGCCCTGGGATCTGCGTGAAGGGCCAGGTCAAAGCCTGGACATGAACTAGCTCACGAGCTGCTGACCAGAGACCCCAAGCCCTCCCTCTGTTCTATGAACAAGTACAGGAGACCCTAGAATTCCTGCCAGGCATATAGTATATGCCTCTCTTCTCAGGACTCTTGGAGGTTGAGGCGGTGGGGGGGGGGGCGTCAAAAGTTTTATTTCAAATTTTGTGAGATAGGGTCTTGCTATGTATCCATCCTGGCTTTGAATTTACAGCAGTCCTCCTGCCTCAGCCTCCTGAGTGCTGGGATTATAGGCCTGTACCACCAGGCCAAGCGTTAGGAGAATCAAGTTTGAGCCCAGCCAGGGCAACTTAGTGACTGAGTGAGACTTTATCTCAAAATAAAAAAGCCTGGCTGGGGATGTAGTTTAGTGCAAAAAAACCCCTAGGTTCAATCCCCAGTACCAAGAAAAAAAAATCCTGGAATTCTTTCCCACAAATGTGGTAAGAGCTAGTTATATAATACCTGGCAAACAGTTATTAAAAAGCATTGGGCCGGGGATTTAGCTCAGTGTTTTCGCCGCCTGCTGCGCAAGTGCAAGAACTGGAGTTCAATCCCCGGTACCCAAAAAAAAAAAAAGGCACTGGCGTTCCACACTCTTCACCGACACAAGGATCTCACAGTCTGCCACACAGCGGGGCCGCCACACCGAGGGGCCAGGCTCCCAGCCAGCTGTTCGCCACAGCTGGAATCCCGTCTAGAAGTGGGCAGGGAGATGGGCTCATCCTCACCCCAGTGGGCCTCGGAACCAAAGCCACTGTGCTGGGGTAGGGTCTCCCCAGCGGCACTGTAGACCGTGGGGCGGGGCATCACTGTAGGGCATCCCTGGCCTCCACCTGGTCCGTGCCAGGAGCTCCTCCAATCCCAACAGCCACCAGTTTCTGCAGACACTGCCCAGTGTCTCTGAGGGCACGGTCACCCCCAAGGGAGACCCCCGGCTTAGGAGAACGACCACAGTGCTGGAATCATGGTTCAGCCTGATGGGCCCCAAGACCTGGGCACCTCGGGCCGCTCAGGCTCCAACTGACCCAGAAGCCAGGCCTCTCCAGAGAGGGTGCCCGAGGGTGTTGAGCAGCCCAGAAGCCAGGCCAGCGGGAAGCCAGGTGGGGGCACTCGCTGACCTGGTCCGGGGCTTCTCCTCAGGCCGCCCTCTCTTCTCCTTCTGGCTGGGCTTCCTCATGGGCTCTGTGCTCTGAGGTTGCAACTTCTTGGTGGATTTCTTCCCCTGTGGCAGCCGGAACAAAGTGGGGGTTTGGAAGCGGGCAGAGGGGCTCAACCTAGGCCCACGTGGAGGCCAAGCTCGACTCTGCTGCCTTCTCTTGTGGGCAGGACTAAAGAGAGGGAGGGAAGGCAAGACCCTGGCGGCCCTTCTCAGACCCCCAGGGACCTCAGGGGTCAAAGTGTCCAGCGCTCCACCCATGGACGGCCAAAGCCACCACACTCCTGCTCAGTAGCTCTGAGTACAGCAGGAACTTTTTCTGCCAGGAGGGGGGACCTCCTGGGGTGATAAGAGAGGCAGAGTTTTTTCTGCCCCTTCCAAAGAAGGCAGACCTGGCCAGGGGGCACTATGGCCAGGGTCCCTAAGCTAAGTCTATGGTGTCATCTACAATGTCAGACTGGATCAGCCCAGACTGCCAAGGTCCTGAGGGTGGGTGTTTGATGGGGCCCATAGCTCCCAAACATTGTATAAAGCAGGCCTCACAGTCACCAGCATGTCTCAGAGGGCTCCTCACTACTCCCATGCTCACCCACAAGCTGTTCCCCCAGAGCAACAGAAAGTTCCATGAGTCAGGTCCTCCCTCCTCTGTCCTCAGCTCTCCATGACTCCCACCTCCTTGGGGTCAAATCCCAAATCCTGCTTGCAGGCCACAGGCCCTGTATGACCTGCCCGTCCCCTCCCCATCTCCCCTTCTCCTTCTCTGCCTCTTGTTCACTCTGCTTCAGCCACATTGGTTCCTTGCTATTCCTGTACTGTGTTGGGGTGTCCTGCCCCAGGGCCTTTGCACAGGCTGTCCCACATGGACTGCTTCCCCAGATTTCCCTCACGTAGATTAAGGGAAGTCTTTGGGATCTACTCTATTTAAAACAGAAGTGGTGCAGGGGTTGTGAGTCAGTGGTGAGGACTTTCCCAGCACACGGAAAGTCCTGGGTAACATCCCAGCACTGAAAAAATCAAGTCACCTTGACGGGGTCACCTTCTACAACATCCTATGTGGTCAGCTCCTGCAGGGCTGGCCCAGGGCTCACTGCTTTCCTGCTGTATCCCCAGCACCCAGAATGGCACTAAGCGGGTGCACAGTAAATGCATGGACTGCAGGGACTGCAGGGACTGCCGACCGAAGCGAGGTGGGGTGAGAGGGCTGGGGACAGGCTGGAGCACGGCGGTCCTCCCAGGCATGCACCTCTCTCTCCAGCTCTGCTTCGGGCTCCGAGTCGGAGGAGGAGGGCGGCCCCCGGCCCCGGCCCTTGCGGCCCCGCTTCTTGACAGGCTCGTCGTCCTCCCCAAGCTCGTCCCCACTGCTGCCACTGCTGCCTCCTCGCTCAGCCTCCCCGTGCTCAGCCCGCTCACGCCGCCGCTCCTTCTCCTCCTTCTCCTGCTCACGCAGCCTCCGCAGCTCCTCTTCCTGCTCCCGCCGCCTCCGGGCTTCCAGCTCCCGCCTCCGCTCCTCGTCTCGCCGTTTCCATTCACTGATGCGGTCCACCTCGTCGCTGTCGCTGGGGCGGACGGGGCAGTTAGGGGGACCCCAGGGGCGCCTGGCCCAGCCAGCACCCGAGGCCTTGGCCAGGCAGAGGCCTCGGCTGGGAGTCCCCCGCAGCCCTGACACCCACCTGTCACTGCTGGAGGTGGAAGGCGGCCGCTCAGGCTTTGGCTTCCGCCCTCGGGGCTTTGGGGGAGGCTTCTCTGCTACAGGAAAGTTGGAGGGGGCGGGCTTGTCACCTGCCAGCTCCCCAGGGCTCCCCAACATGGGCTCCTGAAGGGGTAGGATGGCAGGACAGGCCCTACCTGGCTTTCTGCCCCGAGGAGGTTTCTTGACAGACACGTCAGAGTCGGAGGAAGAGGAGGAAGAGGAGGGAGACGCTGACTTTGCCAGGGCCACTGGCTCCTCCTTGGCCCCATCGGAATCGGCTTTGGAGTCCGAATCCGAGGCTGCCGGCACCTTCTGGGGAGAGGGGGGCCAGCTCAGAGGTTAAGAAGCTGGGGTGAGGGAGGTGGAGTGGCTGGGCCTGACCTCTACACATTGCAGTTCAGGCCCTTGCTGAGTGGTTCATTGGGGGCGAGCAGCCTCCTCTTCCCCCAGGGAAGCAGGGAGCAGAGCAGACTCCAGGGTTGTCCAGTAGGGGGCTCTCAGCACACAGACACGGACATGGACACAGAGGCCGGGCTGCCCCGGCTGCCCCAGCTGCCCCCACCTCACCCAGCCTGCCCAGAGCACACAGGAAGACAAACATGCCACACAGGACAGGCCGGAACACGTACACACGGTGTGCGGCCACATGTCAGTACACACACTGTTCCACAGACAGCTTTCCAGACCCCCACCGCGTCCCAAACCCAACAGGGGCAGGGTTCCTTCAGAGCCGCAGCAGCCACTGACACGTCCCGGGTACAGGCTTGTGCCCACCAGGGCACCTGCAGTCAGGACTGCTGCTCCCTGGGCGTCGGCCTCAGGCCTGTGCCCAGCCCCTCCACCAAAGGCCCAGCTGGGACAGAGGGGCGGAGCGCGGGGAATGCATTCGAGACGCCCTACGCCCTACCTTCTTCTTCCGTCCACCCACGGAGGCCCGCCGCGGCGCCCGGACCACAGCTTTCTTCTCGGGCGTGAAGTCCTGCGTGGGAAGGAAAGGCGCTGCAGGGGTGCCGGCGGCCACCACCAAGACTCCCACCTCTAGGTGCCTGTGCCATGCCCTGACTCCCTGCTCACCTGGTCGCTGGTCTTCTCGGACTCGGACGAGCTCTCTGAGTTCTCCTCTTCAGAGGGCGACACGCTGGCTTGGTCCAGGTCACTAGAGGCCTTCCGGACACGCTTGGAGACAGACATCTGCAAAGGAAGGCCCAGAGGCCTCAGTAACAGGGCACCATGCAAGCCCGTGTCAGGGGTGGTGCCAGGTCCCGGGGAGGACATTCCGGAGGCGGACCGGGGGGCGACGGCTGCACCACCATGCCAATGTGCTTATGCTTCTGAGCTGTGCACTTAGAAATGGGTAAAACGCTGCTACGTTATGATCTTTAACAGCACTGGGGACTGATCCCAAGGCTTTCACACTGAGCAACATACATCTCTAACCCTTTGTATTCTGAGACAGTCTCACTAAACTACCCAGGCTGGGCTCCATCTTGCAATCCTCCTGCCTCAGCCTCCCACAATGCTGGGATGACAGGTGTGTGCCACCATGCCCGGCTTATCCAACAATCTTAGTAAGACACAGCAGAATTCACTGACATCACCGTCTACTTCTCAAACACTGAAAGCCTCATCTTAGTATATGTGCTGCCAAAGAGAGCATGAAAGCCTCATCTTTTTTTTTTGGTACCGGGGGGTCGAACTCGGGTCCTTGTGCTTATGCAGCAGGTGGCAAAACCACTGAGCTAAATCCCTGGCCCAGCTCATTGTTTTAGAAGAAAAAGCAAATACAATAATGGGCTGGGGTACAGCTCAGGGGCAGAGCTTGTGCTTAGTGCACACGTATAAGGTCCTGGATTCATTCCCCAGGGCCAAAAAAATAAAACGCAAAGAGAACTGCCTCTGTTAATACAACGTGCTGCGATTCTAGAATTTATTAGAAGCTAATCCTTTCACTGAGCCCAAATACTTAGAAGCTGTGAAGCCAAGCGTGGTGGTGCATGCTTGTAATCCTAGCACTCGGAAGGCTGAGGCAGGAGGACCACCTGGGCCAGCCTGAACTACACAGAACAGAGAATATACCCAAGAGAACAGAAAACACACAACCCATAAAAACTCGTACAGGCATGTTCACAGCAGCACAATTCCTAATTACCAAAAGGTGTAGAAAGAGGCCTGGGCATTTAGCTCAAACATTGTATAAAGCAGGCCTCACAGTCACCAGCATGCCTCAGAGGGCTCCTCATTACTCCCATGCTCACCCACAAGCTGTTCCCCCAGAGCAACAGAAGGTTCCATGAGTCAGGTCAGCGGCACCATGCCTGCCTTGCAAGCAAAAGGTCTTGAGTTCGATCCCCATTACCAGGGGAAAAAAAAAGGTGTAGAAACAACTTAAATGGCCATGGACAAATGGATAAACATGACACAGGCTACAAACACGCTGGAATATTACTGTGCCATGAAAAGGAGAGTGGCTATCACACTTGCCACAATGCGGATGGACTTTGGGGGCATCATGCTCAGTGACAGACACCAGACACAGCATGGGGCTTGGTGGACAGGAGACACCCAGGACAGGAGGTGCTGGGAGAGGGCAAAGGGGGAATGACCGCTCCTGGGGACGAGCATTCTTAACAGGGAGATAAAATGTTCCGGAGCTAGACAGAGATTATAGTTGCTCAATACTGCAAATAAACTAAAAATCAATATACTCTATATACTTTTGTTTTTGGATACAGGATCTATCTATGTAGCCCAATTGGCCTCAAACTTGAGGCAATTCTCTTGCCTCAGCCTCCCCAGGGCTGGGATTACAGGCGTGCACCATGCCCATCTTGAACTGTACATTTTGAAAGTGTGCATTTCATGGTACATGAGCTTTTTTGGTTAAAAATGCATGTGAATCTGGGTGTGGTGGCAGATGCTGGTACTCCCAACACTTGGGAGGCTGAGGCAGGAAGAGTGCCATGAGTTGAGGTCAGACTGGGCTAGACAGCAAAACCTTATCTCAAAAAAAATTCTGGTACTGGAAATCAAACTCAGGACCTTGTGCTTGCCAGGCAGGTGTGGTGCCACTGAGCTATATTCTGAGCACCTCTCAAATTGCTTTTTTTATTGGTACCAGGGATCGAACTTGGGTCCTTGCACCCAAATTGTTTTAAATGCATCTGAAGCGAGGCTTGGTAGAATATGCCTATCATCGCAGTATTCTAGGAAGCTGAGGCAGCAGAAGGATCATTAAGTTTGAGGGCTACTTGGGCAATTTAGTGTCTCAATGAGATGGTCTCAAAAAAAAATGCCAGAGCTGGTGGTGCACACCTGTTAGCCTAGCACTTGGGAGGCTGAGGCAGGAGGGTTACCACCAGTTCCAGGCCAGCCCAGGCTACATAGTAAGTTTAAGGCCACCCTGAACCACAGTGAGACCCTGTCTCAAAAAACAAACAAAGAGGCAACGGGAGGGGCCACCAGGGGGGATCTCAAGCTGTCAAGAGAAGGACAGGGCAATGCTGGGCATCTGCACCCTGTCCGGGCCAGGCCAGGCCAGGCCACCCTGCCTCACCTCTACCTTCAGTGCCGATGTCTTCCGTTTCAGGCCGCTGTTGTCACTGCTCTTATCAGAGTCTGAGTCACTCTCCATCCTGTCGCTGGCGGCTGCGGCAGTCACAGCTGTGACAGCCATGACTCCCCGGCCCTCCTCGTCCTCATCGGCGTCACTCCCACCTGCAGGGTCAGCTTCAGGGGCCTCGCTCTCAGAGGAACTCACTGGCTGCAGGGTAGGGCGGCATCAGAAACTGTGTTACTGCAAGTCTTGGGTGGGTTTCCCCAGGACAAGGACCCAGAGGACAGGAACTGCACTCCCGTGGGGTCTCAAATGTCAGGGTCCAGCTTCCTCGCTTTGCAAATGAGGAACTGAGGCCCAGAAAGCCCACAGAAAGGAGGCAGGAGGGCATGCTGGAGACATGTGGCAGGCACTAGTGCCGAGGCCCTGAGAGTCAGTCCCTAGGCAAGTGCCTTCAGCTTCTCTGTGCCTGTTTCCAGACCCAAGCAGGGGCGATCACAGAGTTTTAGCCTCACAGGGATGCAGCAAGGAGGAAACACAGGTGGTACACAAAGTAGGTCAGGGTCCATACTGTGGCAACAGGCCCGTAAATGTTCGCTTTTTTATTTTTGGTACCGGGGATCGAACTCGGGACCTTGCACTTGCAAGGCAGGTGCCAAAACCACTGAGCTAAATCCCCAGCCAATGTTTGCTTTTCTAAAAATCACTTTTTTGTTGTTTGCTTGTTTTTTTGCATACAGGATCTTGGTATGTAGTTCAGGCTGGCCTTGTGTAGCCCAGGATAGCTTGGAACTTGTAGTGACCCTCCTGCCTCAGCCCCCCGAATGCTTGGATTACAGATATGCACCCACCATGCCCAGTAAAAAATCATTCTTTTTTTTGGTACCAGGGATCAAACTTAGGACCTTGAGCTTACCAAATGGGTGTGGCCACTGAGCTAAATCCCTGGCACTAAAAAAATCATTCTTAAAAGGAGGAAGACAGCCTAGGATAGGATCTCCTGAGCTTCCGTCTTCAAGGTACTTAAATGTGTCACTAAGTTGTGTTTTTTTTGTACCAGGGATCGAAGTCAGGTCCTTGCGCTTGCGCAGCAGGCGGCAAAACCACTGAGCTAAATCCCCAGCCCTGTCACTAAGTTTTTTGTTTTTGCTATTTTTTTTTTTTTTTGGTACCGGGGATCAAACTCAGGACCTTGAGCTTTCGAAGCAGGTGCGGTGTCACTGAGCTAAATCCCCAGCCCAGTTTTTTGGGTTTTTTTTTTCAGTACTGGAGATGGAATGTAGTCTTCACACTGGGCTACACCCCAGTCCATGTTTATATTTTTTATTTTTTAAATTTATTCGTTTTTGGGGGGGTTCCGGGGATCGAACTCGGGACCTTGTGCTTGCGAGGCAGGCAGTGGAACTACTGAGCTAAATCCCTGGGCCTATATTTTTTATTTTGAGACAGGGTATCACTAAGTTGCCCAGGCTGGGCTCAAACTTGTGATCCTCCTGCCTCAGCCCCGAGTGCTGTGATTTTAGGTGTCCAGCCACTGCTGAATTTGTTACACTCAAAACAGGCAGGAACAGCCACAAATAAGCTAATTTTGTTTTGTTTTGTTTTGTTTTTTGGTACCAGGATCAAACTTGGGACCTCGCGCTTTCGAGGCAGGTGGTGGCATCACTGAACCAAATCCCCAGCCCAAGCTAATGTTTTTTATGGCACGTCTTCCGGTCTGGCCACATCACCAGGCTCGGTGGGTAGAGGACACAGAAGTGACTGAGGCCAGGTCCCCTTCCTGGGAGCTGACTGATGAGGGTGGAAGAGGCTGATTCACGGCTCCCACAGTGGAGACAGGCAGGAAGAAAGCACTGGGTGTGGTGGCTGTGAGGGGCAGGAAAGGAGGGAGCACTGCGCACTGCGGTGGGCTGGAGGTCGAGGAGGCCTTGAGAGGCTGTGACATTGCAGTGGAGGAGTTGTCTCAGCATGCAGAGGGCTGCGGGCTCAATGCGCTCCACAGAGCAGGAATGCTATGTGTGAGGTTCCTCTTAGCAACAGGAGGAGGTAGTACTGCAGGGGCACAGCAAGAGGGGAAGATGGTGAAGAGGACAGAAGTGAGGGCAGACCGAGTCCTGCACAGTGTTCCTGAGGCTCTCAAATTGGCCAGGCAGATGGCACAGTGAAGGCCACAGGGGCTTCCTCAGGTCCCTCTGGAACTGGCTCTGGATGTCCTATGTTTGTGGAAGGAAAATGTACCAGGCCCACCTCCTCAGCACTCACTCAGCCACCAAACATCATGGAGATGTACTATGCGCCCCGCCCTGGCTGGGGACTGGGCTAGAGGGTAAGACACAGCTCTGCCATTGGGAGCTCAGTCTAGCAGGGACAGATCTGTAAAGGCAGTCACTGCACAGCCCCAGTGGGAAGCAGGACCTGGTCAGCCACGTCCAACGACAAATTTCACGGCACTTCTCAGTAACTGCTATTTGACAGGAAAGCTGGGTATGGTGGTATACGCCTATCATCCCAGCACTCGGAGGCTGAGGCAGGAAGATCACAAGTTCAACCCCAGCCTGGGCAACTTAATCATTTAGCAAGACCTTGTCTCAAAGTAAGAATTCAAAAAGGACTGGTAATATAGCTCCGTGGGAATGTCCTGGGTTCAATACCCAGTGCTGTGGGAGAAAAACAAGAGAGGGGATAATTTACAGAGGATGGGGAAGGAAAAAGGATCATGACGCAATACGCAATTCCACACAATAAATGTATTTATTATGGACCTCAAAATTACACTGAGAAAAAAATAAATACATTAAAAAAAAAAATCACCGTGGGAGGCACTGAGGCGGGAGGATTGCAAGTTTGATGCCAGCCTGGGCAATTTAGCATCTTAGTGATATCTTATCTCAAAATAAAAGATAAAAGAAGGTCTGGAAATACAGCTCAGTGTGAAGGCCCTGGGTTCAACACCCAGTACCTATCCCCCAAAAGGGGGGTGGTTAAGCCACAACCTCTGGAAACCACTCACATGTCTGTGCAGTGATGAGTTAACAGGACACGGCACAGCTATAGGGCCAGAAAGGCAGCACTGGCACACTGCGGCGAGAGGGACCTTGAGAACGTCATGCTCAGGGAGAAGCCAGGCACAAAGGACAGAGTGTGCGACTCCATTTAGGTGAATTTCTCACCCCAAACAGGTAAATGCAGGCAGGAGGCAGCCTCAAGGCTGCAGGGAGCTGGCGGGATGAGGACCAGGACTTCTCTGACTGCTAACGGGCTTCTCTGTGGGGTCATGGGATGCTCTGGAATTACAGTAGAGATGGCTGAACACACTGGAAATGTATAAAACACCACTATAGGGTACACTTTAAAATGGTCATTTGGGGTGGGTTCTGGGGGGTTGAACCCAGGGCCTTTGCTCTGAGCTACATTCCAAGCCTTTTAAAATTATTTTATTTTGGGCCTGGGATTTAGCTCAATGGTTCTGTTGCCTGCCTCCCAAGCGCAAGGACCTGAGTTTGATCTCTGGCACCAAAAAAAAAAAAAAAATTATTTTATTTTGAGATAGGGTCTCACTAAATTATCCAGGCTGAGTTTGAACTTGTAATCCTCTTGCCTCCCAGAGTGCTGGGATGACAGGTGTTACCAACCCC